TTGGTGTTTTCTATGGTCTCCATGAAGAGAATTATATAAATATAGATAGAAGAAGTACAAACTGGGGCGCCTTAACAAATATGATCAAGAAATACAAGGCTTGTTCAGTTAGCACTTAAGTAACTCAGCCTTAGGAAACTAGGTCACGCGTCTGAGAGTGCACGCTGAGTAATGCTTTGATCATATCTTCTTAACAGCTACAGGACATTACCCCCCCCCCCCGTCAATTACCCACTGGACACCCCCCCCCCCCCCCCGATTTACCCCCGGATCAATTACCCCCTGTCAGTTATCCCCCGGGGAATTACCCCCCTCCTTAGAATCCTAACTCTAACTCAAACTATATACCTATATATTACCTTAATCTTAACCTTAAGTAAAAGATCAAACCTAAGAATTTACCTCAGCCTAAAACTTAACACAAAACCAACTCTAGTCATTGGTTTAAGCCAAAACTTGACAATAACACTAACCCTTATCATAGCCTTGACCCGAACCCTGACCATAACACTAACCCTAATCATAACCCTAAATCTAGACCTAACCCTAACCCTAACCCTAACCCTAACTCTAACCCTTACCCTAATCCTAACCCTAACCCTAACCCTAACCCTAACCCTAACCCTAACCCTAACCCTAACCCTAACCCTAACCCTAACCCTAACCCTAACCCTAACCCTAACCCTACCCCTACCCCTACCCCTAACCCTAACCCTAACCCTAGTCCTAGTCCTAGTCCTAGTCCTAGCCCTAGCCCTAGCCCTAGCCCTAGCCCTAAGCCTAAGCCTAAGCCTAAGCCTAAGCCTAAGCCTAAGCCTAAGCCTAAGCTTAACCGTAGCCATAGCCATAGCCATAGCCATAGCCATAGCCATAGCCATAGCCATAGCCATAGCCATAGCCATAGCCATAGCCATAGCCATAGCCATAGCCATAGCCATAGCCATAGCCATAGCCATAGCCATAGCCATAGCCATAGCCATAGCCATAGCCATAGCCATAGCCATAGCCATAGCCATAGCACTAGCCATAACACTAGCCATAACACTAGCCATAACACTAGCCATAACACTAGCCATAACACTACCCATAACACTACCCATAACACTACCCATAACACTACCCATAACACTACCCATAACACTACCCATAACACTACCCATAACACTACCCATAACACTACCCATAACACTACCAATAACACTAGCCTTAGTCCTAACTCTAACACCAATCCTAAGCTATGTCCGGGGAGGGGGGGGGGGGTAATGCCCTGTTCCCCTCCTTAATATCTTTCGTCACTATATATATATATATATGTATGTATATATATATATATATATATATATATATATATATATATATATATATATATATATATATATATATATATATATAATATTCGCTGTAAAGAAAATGTACTAGTCATGTAATTTTGGTTGCAAATTATAGAATAAAGTCTAATAAAAAAACCACAGAAGAACAGATAAGGAAGAAGTGGGGAAACTTGCCCGATAAAGGAAATTTTCAACAAATAGCTTGTCTCAACAGCGTCATTTCCGTTACCTAGGAGATTATCAGAAAGCAAATCAGGAGGAGGTCTGTCGAGGCATATGGTACAACAGGTTTTTAACGTTAAATCTTGTTCTTTTCTATTCCTTTAAGAAACTAATTTCTGAGCCTTATTGGGTTTAGAATATCTTTTTAAATATTTAACGTAATTATTGAAATCTAGTCTCCAACACACATGAATGTATGCGATTTTCCAACATCTACATCTACATCTACATCTACATCTACATCTACATCTACATCTACATCTACATCTACATCTACATCTACATCTACATCTACATCTACATCTACATCTACATCTACATCTACATCTACATCTACATCTACATCTACATCTACATCTACATCTACATCTACATCTACATCTACATCTACATCTACATCTACATCTACATCTACATCTACATCTACATCTACATCTACATCTACATCTACATCTACATCTACATCTACATCTACATCTACATCTACATCTACATCTACATCTACATCTACATCTACATCTACATCTACATCTACATCTACATCTACATCTACATCTACATCTACATCTACATCTGCATCTGCATCTGCATCTTCATCTACATCTACATCTACATCTACATCTACATCTACATCTACATCTACATCTACATCTACATCTACATCTACATCTACATCTACATCTACATCTACATCTACATCTACATCTACATCTACATCTACATCTACATCTACATCTACATCTACATCTACATCTACATCTACATCTACATCTACATCTACATCTACATCTACATCTACATCTACATCTACATCTACATCTACATCTACATCTACATCTACATCTACATCTACATCTACATCTACATCTACATCTACATCTACATCTACATCTACATCTACATCTACATCTACATCTACATCTACGCAATCTGTTTATACAAAAGTACTAGCGTGCCTATCCCCGCGCGTTGCCGTGGAGTTAGAAAAAAGTCTGACTAAATATTTTAAAAGGGTTTCATCAGTGCGTTACCAATCCTATATTTTAGACGCGTGATCTTGTTTTCTAAAACTGAGTTATTTAAATGTAAACAATGCCTGCGCTATATTTCTTGGATCACGGGTTTACCTACACTACCACCCAGCACGCCCTATGTAGAACACACTTCAGCGACCGCCCAGGTGTCAGGGACCAATGGGGTGCTCTCGGGAGCCCCTGTTACACTACCGAGGGGGCACCGTTTACGGCCCCTTGCTCGGTTTAATCAACGAATGTCGTATGCCACCGTGTTAATATTGTTGGGTGCTTTCTAAAACTAATGTAGGCACCATAGTGCTCAGAAGATAGCTCCGGGCGCGTCAATTAGCACCCCGTCGGTGCGCCGGCGAACGCGTCTGATTCGATTAAGCACCATAATGATCCTAGGGCGCCAATGCGATGGTCTCCTCTTTAATATTAGTAAAGGTATCCAACAGATAATAAAGTAATCCACGCTTTTCTTTATAGTAATTTAAATAGTAGTGCATTATTATATATTTAAAGAAAGTACTTTCTACTTTTTAGTGTATTATTACATAAAAGCTTGTTATGAAAACGTTTTTTATGATTTTTTTAAAAACATGTATTGAATAGGCCTACTTTTTCTTGATTTTAAGAAACTCTCCACGCTTTTATTTCTAGTTATTTTAAAAGCAGTTCATTATAATATATTTACACATGATTACGAAAAATATGCGTATAACAGCGAGGTAAATACTACTTAATGAATAATATTTTAATTAACTTTTAAAACATTAATTAGTCATCCTATTAGGTCAAATTGGATGTCAGATTGCATTGTCATCGGGTCTTGGAATTAAAAACTCACATTAGGCATTATGTTTAGAATTAGGTATGCGGGTTTTTAACAGCAAACCATCAACTATTTTCGTTTAGCTGTTGAGAACCATTCAATATTATAAGGTTTTGTGTTAGGTTAAAGTTGTTAGCCAGAGCCTGTGAACAAAGCATTTGAAGTCTAATAAGCATAACGTGTTCATCTGTTTTGGTAGGCTGATTCATCTTGGGGGTCAGCAGAGATTAGTATGAAAAAAAAATTAAAATAAATGTTTATCCAAACAAAAGTTATCAAATGTGAAATTATGAAACGTTGAAAGTGTCTTAATATTTTTGGCCAGACTGCTTAAAGGTAGGATCTACTATCAAAATGCAGTGGGGGCTCATATAAAGTTTTAATCCACACTTCACCAGTAGCTCTTAAAATTCCGTAACTTCAATAGAAGGGCAAGTGAGCAGAGAGGCATAGGCCCTACATGTAGTGAGCAGAGAGGCATAGGCCCTACATGTAGATAAACAGCATACACAGAGCGACAGATGTATTTTATGCGTAGATATGTATAGATATGTAATATCTTACTAGAACATTTGATCCTGGTTTTGAGTGTGGGTGGGGGGGGGGTGGCATTGAGTGGTGTTTCCGTTTCATCCAAGAATTATAAATGTCTAGTTGTCAAACACTAAAATATATAGCATAACAATAGAACAGCAAACTACACTGTTGGGCACTCGACTGATACCCCCCCCCCCTCAATCGAACAGCAAACTACCCTGTTGGGCACTCGACTGATAACCCCCCACCCCCTCAATAAAACAGCAAACTACCCTGTTGACCACTCAAATGATACCCCCCCCCCCCTCAATAGAACAACAAACTACCCTGTTGGGCACTCGACTGATACCCCCCCCCTTCCTCAATAGAACGACAAACTACCCTGTTGGGCACTCGACTGATACCCCCCCCCCCCCTCTTCCTCAATAGAACGACAAACTACCTTGTTGGGCACTCGACTGATACCCCCCCCCCCTCTTCCTCAATAGAACGACAAACTACCCTGTTGGGCACTCGACTGATACCCCCCTCAATAAAACAGCAAACTACCCTGTTGGGCACTCGACTGATACCCCCCTCAATAAAACAGCAAACTACCCTGTTGGGCACTCGACTGATACCCCCCCCCCTCAATAGAACGACAAACTACCCTGTTGGGCACTCGACTGATACCCCCCTCAATAGAACGACAAACTACCCTGTGGGGCACTCGACTGATACCCCCCCCCCCCTCAATAGAACGACAAACTACCCTGTTGGGCACTCGACTGATACCCCCTCCCCTCAATAGAGCAGCAAACTACCCTGTTGGGCCACTCCATTAATACCCCCCCCCTCCTTTTCACCTCTACTGCACAAATCGGCTGACTCACTTTTATGTTGCATACACGTTCTACAGTCGACATTAGTCACACACGTCCTTACTCGGCTTCACGAAATGCACGCGCACTGTGCCCGCCACTGTCGCAGAATGTATCGCGGCACCGGCGGCCGCCGATTACTCCCTAGCCTGCTGACCGCCAGCAACAGCCTGTGGCGTCTATTGTTCAAACCTACTGACAAGATGGCTGCAGATGGACCATTCTTCCCATATTTTAACATATTGCAATATCAAAGTCTGTTGTAAGCAATAGTTTTGTGAAGGTAAAAACCAGATTTTTTGTGTGAAATTGTTGTCGAAAAACCTCTCACTGTCTAGCAATATTATTTAACTAAAATTCACGTGATTTTCCTCGCCAGCTGGGAGCTGTATGTCCGTCAGAAATGTTTCAATACAACGATCAACTGACTACAGACATATGGTGCAAGCTTCGAGTGATCATTGCATTACTAAAGGTAACGAGTCAGTTTACGTTGGAATAGTTCTTATTTAACAATTATAGTGAGAGTAAGTAAAGGCACCTTTGTAAATCCTTGTTGCTGTTCTTTTTAGATTAAGTTTTTTTCAAATTCATGTCAGCAATAATTTAATTAGATCATATCCTCTGTCTAAAACATCACATGCAACAACACATTTTTTAACAAACTCATACACATCGACAACAACTCATTTATAAATGACATCTGTTGACTGGACAAATGATCTTACGGCAAAAAATCTCAGAGACAAAAGATCTCAGGAATATGTGTATATATATATATATATATATATATATATATATATATATATATATATATATACATATATTATATATATACATATATATATGGATGTGGGCGTGGATTTGGATGTGGATGTAGACGTTTATAGTAGACGTAGCTTGAGCTGTAGATGAAGATAGTGGCTGGCTGACTGACTGGTTTTTGTTATATTGTTAGATGTAGATGTAGATGAAGATAGTGGCTGGCTGACTGACTGGTTTTTGTTATATTGTTAGATGTAGATGTAGATGAAGATAGTGACTGGCTGACTGACTGATTTTTGTTATATTGTTAGATGTAGATGTAGATGAAGATAGTGGCTGGCTGACTGACTGGTTTTTGTTATATTGTTAGATGTAGATGTAGATGAAGATAGTGGCTGGCTGACTGACTGGTTTTTGTTATATTGTTAGATGTAGATGTAGATGAAGATAGTGACTGGCTGACTGACTGATTTTTGTTATATTGTTAGATGTAGATGTAGATGAAGATAGTGGCTGGCTGACTGACTGGTTTTTGTTATATTGTTAGATGTAGATGTAGATGAAGATAGTGGCTGGCTGACTGACTGGTTTTTGTTATATTGTTAGATGTAGATGTAGATGAAGATAGTGACTGGCTGACTGACTGATTTTTGTTATATTGTTAGATGTAGATGTAGATGAAGATAGTGGCTGGCTGACTGACTGATTTTTGTTATATTGTTAGATGTAGATGTAGATGAAGATAGTGGCTGGCTGACTGACTGATTTTTGTTATATTGTTAGATGTAGATGTAGATGAAGATAGTGGCTGGCTGACTGACTGGTTTTTGTTTTATTGTTAGATTAGCATAAGACAATTTGTAATTTTTGCGACAGTTCGGTCATGTTCACTGGATGTAAACTGTATTTTCATACAACTGTATTTTATAGGTTTAAAACATCTAATTAGACTACACATGTTTGAAATAATGTATTACAAAATGTTTCGTCAAATGATGTGATTCTCATATAAATTTAAAAGTTTTTATTTTATCACAATATGTCGTTATTTTGGGCGGGGTTGGAGGGTAGAGCTCTTAGGCATTGTCGTATAACGCGACATATGGAGTAGGATTATTATAGCTAAAAATGCTATTTGTGTTATATACGTGCAACACCTAACATTTTGACCCCATGTCCTATACTGAGGTTTCACATTACCTGAACACTCCATTTTTTTTCTTTATAATCGTGGGCTGCTTATTATTAATTTAGGTTGTTCTTTTTTTTTTTACCTAAACGATTCTTATCGTAAACACCTATAATATTGTCCATTTCAATATCAATATGTTTTCCAACTTGCATAAAAGTTAACTTCTATTTGTAGAAATCCCATTTGTCAAATAGAGCTTTGCTAAAATAATGACCATCTCTGGGAAAATAGTGAGATCCGAAAAAAATTATCTGGATGTTGTCAAGGAACTGTAAGATGACATCAATTTTGAAATATTGCTCACAAACCCAGACAGATGGCGCCTAGCTAAATCCCACTAGTTTTAGATCAATTGCACTGTCATTTTTCATGGATCTCCATTATTAAGACATAATTTAAATAATTTATCACGCAGTGAGTTTTTAAGAGGAATACATAAAACTATTACAATAATGGGTTTTCTAAAATTCTTACAATTTCAGTTGAAGTCCAAGCTTAGTGACGAAGTAGTTTGTGGGATTACAGATCATAACATCAAAGTAGTAAAACATCTACCTAACTTATTTAATACTAGACGATTGCTTTAACAACAGTAAGTAGTCTATAATATAATTGGATATATGTCAAGTAAAATAGATTTCTGCTACCAGTTTCATATTTAGCAGCTTATTTGGAAAAAAATAATACGGCAACACATATACAAATATATGTACATAGATTATTTTGTTATATTCAACATATCAATATAATTACTACTTTATTCATCAAAAGCTTTATTGATCATTATTACCTAAAACGTTCTAATGTTTTAGGGCTAATGAATAACAATTTTAATATATATATATATATATATATATATATATATATATATATATATATATATATATATATATATATATATTAGATGAACTTTGGTGTTGTTTTTAAGAACACAAAAGAACTGAACACAAAAAGTCAACAAAACATAATAGAAACACATTACGAAACGTCTACAAAACAATACAAAATGTCTACAAAACACAATATATATCAGTGGCGTTGCTAGGTCGGGTGTCACCCGGTGCGGCACTTCGTGGAGTCTCCCCCCCCCCCCCCTCCCAAGAAACAAAGTATATATATATATATATATATATATATATATATATATATATATGGAAATAAATAAGTGTGTTTGTCGGCCTACATTGGCCTATAATTTAAATATATTAAATATATACCACTTACGCGTACATGTAAGTGTATAAGCTTAAATCGCTTTAGACTTAATAGCATCAATGTTTATCTATAATGTTTTAATAATACAGTTAGATGTAGGATTGTTTTCTCTATAGTTAGCACGTTTACGTCATGGTATCATATTTGTCGATTGTCGATTTGTACTTAAAGACTATCTTGATTTATTTAATCGTTAATGGAAGTGACAAAAAAAAAATTTTAAATATATTTTACAATCTTCTGCCTTGGTGTCACCCCCGGTGTTGGTGTCACCCGGTGCGGTCCGCCCCGCCCCCCCCCCTCGCCTCGCCCTCTCTACGCCTCTGATATATATATATGTGTGTGTGTGTGTCTGTGTGTGTTAACAGTTCATATTTGCTTTTGACGGGGTTAATATTTACGTAGGATTTACACAGAGAGTAGACTGTATATTTTTGTATTTGACAAGAAAAAAAGTGCCAGGACTCAGTAAATAATAGATTAAAGTTATTAAGGACTTTCTGTGACTATATTTAGCAGTGCTTGGATGTTTTAGGTTAATAATAATTGATACCCGTGTTCATAGAATATATGCCCACACTTATAGAGTGCGAAAGTGATAAAAGGGAAAGAACCATTAAAACAAATTACTTTAAAACACTCAGGTAGCCTCCCTGTAAAGGAACATATTTGCCAATATACATGCGGTAAAAATCAAAACCTTTCAACTGATGTGACTGCAAAGTGTTGTATCCTCTCATCGTTGTCCGTTTAAAAATTCCAAAAATCAGTATGCCTATAAATCTATCTGCCTCTAAAACAATGCTTTCTTTACTAGAGACTAGCCGTCCCGGCCAGGCCCTGCTCTGGCTTCTGTGAAAAACCTTTCTGTTAAAGACCATTACCTGTGTGTTTAGTAATCATCATAAACCCGGCATTGCCCACCCAAACCACAACCAACCAAAACAACAAAACGCAAAAATAACGCTAACACAATTACAAATACAAACGAAAACAAAAACCTAACAACAAACCCAACCACAATCACAAACACCAATACAAACACAAAGAAAAAACAAACAAAAAAGCAAACGAAAACAAAAACCTAACAACAAACCCAACCACAACCACAAACACCATACGAACACACAAAAAAACGAAAAAGCAAACGAAAACAAACCAAATCCAAACGCAAAACCAACCACAAACCCAAAGAAAAAAACACAAACGAAAAAGCAAACGAAAACAAACCAAATCCAAACGCAAAACCAAACACAAATACAAACACAAACCCAAAGAAAAAAACACAAACGAAAACGAAAAAAGCTTAATAATCGACTATAGTACCCCAACTTATTCATAGTCTTTTTGCACTCACTTAAACGAACGTAGGTGCCAAACCAAACCAAATGAACAATTATAATACTCCAAGCTTATTCGTAAAATACCTACAACATTTGCACTTGATCAATCCCCGCTAATTATGTAATTATTTTTTTCCACAACACCAAAACAAAGTAATAAAAAGTAAATTCTTTTCCACTAATGCAATGTTTTATAAAGGGAAGTAATTGTGTTTTCTTAATTTATCAAAGGGAAGTAAGTGCTAAAGGACTAAATATAAATAATTTTCAGACATGATTAGAATTTTTGTTATTTTTTTTAAAATTGTATTTAATGAACATGCCGACAATTATTACTATCAGTTTGAAAAATGAAAATTATTTCCCAACACTTTCAATAGTAATTTTTTAACTCATAAATTTAGACAAATGCGCACGATAATAGTCTAACACTTTAATCCATTGAAGTATGTCAACGACAAACATATGTATTTGAGCTTTATATATTAGATTTTAAAAAATCTGCAATATGTGCAAAATTTTAAAATACACATTTATGTAGAAAATATTATTAAGATTTAAGTGAAGGTATAATAAAAATAATTGAAGAAGTAAATATAATTCCGATAAATAATCTAATTTAGAAACACCTTTAATTATAAAAGTTCAGATCAAATGGTATATATATCTACTTATTTTCACAACAAACATGGGTTCCAAAAAAAAAATTAGACCACATAGTCCATTCAGAAGTGTAATGCATCACAAAGCTAAATTGTGTGTCGGTTATAGCTTTAACGATACGTCAGTAAGTTATTTTTGTTAGGTTCCAACACTATTATCAATTTTCAATAAGATACGCTTGGCAGTTCTCCTAATTCGAAAATTCAACGAATTTAATTATATCGACCGATAAACTAGATTTAAGGCATCTTAAGACAAGCCGGAGAACAGTAGACCAAACGAAAATTTATTAGTTAAAAACAAAACAAGTACCTATATAAAAACAGTAAATAATTGTGTTTCTTTACTGAACTACTTCACGCCTTATATACTGTAAATGAATCTTTGTTTTAAATTTTAGCAATGGAATTGATTTGATTTAATATACAAGAATATTTCGCGTGAGTTTTGTGTCTTACGGAGGCTAAGGAAAATCACTTTTAAAATATATTCTCAAATGTGTATCGGGCAAACTGGGAGGGTCACAGCATGTTTAGACCGAAAACCAATGCAGTCATAATTTTTTCAATGTTTTCCCATACATGTGGTAAACGGTGGAAAATCCCAACGCACGCCAATAATCTCAGTCCATTATTGTTATTTCTACGTTTGTTGAAACGATATATTAATTTGTTATTCCACTAAAATTAACGATATTTGCTAGAATACCTTTGACAGACTTTCAAGTTTGAGACTATTTACTAATGAAGACACGGACAACTACCTTTCTGGTATTAAGCTTTTAACTTAACTGAAAAAATAAATATAATTTGCTTTCTTTATTAAAAGCTTGGTTGCTCATGAGATTTCTTACACGTTTTAATTCATTGAAAATGACGTTGACACTAGATCTATATATAGGCTTCGACTAAAAATAGTGAACAGTGACATTTCACCATCTACAGCGAGCTGATCGCGCGATTGCTTATATTTAATCGTGTTATCTCCCCTTTTATTATTCAATATAGTTTTTTTAAATATCCAGTAGATAGCATCTCTAAAAGACAGTTTTCGGCCCCTTCTACGTGGTCGACACTCGCAGTGGTGGATTGGGGGGGGGCTGATTTTTAGGGGCCCCCAAATTTATCTGGTTAATTGTTGGTTTCACTTTGAAAAACAAAAGTATTAATGTTTGCATCACAAGCTTTTTTTTTTTTAAATCTCTAAAACATTGCACACACTTAAATATAAATACCAGCTGTCATCACCTCCTACCCAGACATTGTATATATAGCCGACTCTCCCTAAAATAACACAGTCCGGACCAGCGATCGCTTATGACAATAAAATAAGTGGTTTTTAGCGTTTAAAAGCACAAACAGTAGCCGAATTGTGACAAACGATTGACCCATCGTTTTTAAAAAAAGTCAACAATTAAAAGCTATTTCGTCAGATTGCGTTGTGCGGTTGATTTACTTGACTAAGTCCTCTTTGCTCCTTATGGAACATAGGGCCCCGACCATTTACTTCTATTTCATCCGATCCCCGGCTATTAGTTTTGCCGTCTCTCAGGTCATCCCTGTTTGGCTTCAGTTCTTCAAGAAGACTCCGCCTCCAGGTCCGTCAAGCGCTATGAGTGTAACATTTGGGTGAGCCTTTCGTAGCGTTTGTCCCACCCAGCGCCACTTCCTCCTTATTTGCACAGCCATAGGCTCCTGCCTTGCTTTCCTCCATAATTCTATGTTCGGCACTTTGTCCTGCCATCTCAATTTCAATATCTGTCTAAGGCATCAGTTAATGAAGGTCTGTATCTTTGCTGTGCTTGCTTTGGAGACTCTCCATGTCTCTGCTCCATACAGCAGAACTGCCTTGACATTTGAGTTAAATATCCTAATTTTTGTGGTAATGGAGATGGCATATTATGGGTCGCAGAACTGTGAAAGCGCAGCAGGCTCTATTAATTCTAGCACGTATGTCCACCCCTGTGCCTCCCGTTTTGCTGATCTTGCTGCCAAGGTGGACAAACTCTTCCGCATCATTTATTTGTCTTCCGTCTATTATCACTGGGGCCTCCTGGTTATTGTTAATTCTCATCACTTCTGTCTTTTATTTGTTGATCTTGAGACCTACGCGCTGAGAGATCGCTCTCGCGCTGTGCGGTGGTAACAAAAAATATATAAAATAATACTGTTAATTAGTTCTCACTCGCAAGCCTTCAGATAACCTGCATTATAGTAGGTAGTCCAAACTGAAATTAACTATTGATTGCAGACTTCTGGAGTGAGTATGTCATGAAAGAACTTTTAATTGTAAGCTCTATGCCACAAATTTTATGAAAATATCTCAATAAATAAAAAAGTTATGCGATTTTTAACAAAGCAAAATTTGGAAA